AGAGAGAGAGAGAGAGAGAGAGAGAGAGAGAGAAAGAGAGAGATGGTCAGAGAGAGATTGAGAGAGAGAGAACAAAAGAGAAGAGGGAGAGAGAGGTAGAGAGATCAGTTAAAAGTAAAAGTAGCACCTGACCTCTGAACAGCTCAAATAAAGCAATCTCAGTTACGTTTTGAAAGCTATGTGGGAAGACAATGTGTAAAAACCCGTAACTAATGAAAGAGAAGGAAAGGATATTCAAAAGTTTGAAACTACCTTCCTGATGATACGCATTCTTATATATATATATCTTCCCGTAAAATAATCGGCAAAAGCAATGTACTGGTAGAGCTATACTAGGTAAAGGTACCTTCACAGACGAAAAATAAATGCATGAATGGAAACAGTGGATTAATCTACATGGTGGATCAGACTGAAGTTGCTATGGCATGATATTGATCCAAACCAAATCTAAAATATTATGAGTGCACTTCACTGAATGTGATCAAGATCTAAAAGAAACAAAAAGTTTCTTTTAAAGATGAGAAGAGTGCTTGGATTAAACTTTCATTTACTTCTTGCTCATTTAACTCCCTCCATCCCCCCCCCCCTCAACATACACACAAAAGAAAACAAAAGAGACAAAAAACACATAGCTGTTTTGTCTTACTGGACCAATTTCTTTCCAGGACAGCATTTCTTGTAAACTAGGAATGTCTCCACTGTACTTTGGTAGCCACTCAACCACTTCATCTTCAACAATCTGTAATCAACAACAGAAAAGTGAAACTTATCTCACACATATCTGTTATGACCCCCCACCCCCAACAAAAACAATACCATTTCAGTTTATTTACAGTCTTACATACACTGAAAAATAAATAAACACAACTTATACAGGAATATGAAGACATTAATCTGAAACTTGAGATCAAATTTTATCTCAAAATGAGACTGGAAAACTAATGTAGATCTTTGTTGTACAAGATTTTAAAATTAGAAGTCACAAAACAAAAAAGACACAAAACCAGCTTCACATATGAACATGTATGAGCAACAATTATTTTGAAGAAAAAAAAAGACGACCAACCAGTCTTGTTACCTCTTCCTTTATAAAGTCCCATTCAACATCTGAAGGTTCAAGGCCAGAGACAACCATACCCAAACCTCTGCGACCTCGCTGAGTTGATGCCTCCACAATTTGAGTCCGTCCCTGCCCATGCTTACCAAGACCTTCACCTTGCTTGTGACCCATTCGAGCCTGGAGATAATAAATATTAAAATTTGTGTGACATCGAGCACCAGTCAAGACAAATATTTGTCTATCAACTACATGAAGAAAATATACTTTTAAGCAAACTGGTATTATGAAGAAATTCATGAGAAAGGCTCACAAAGAAGGCCATATGAGTTGACTTGTTCTTAACACAAGGACATTAGTTTAAGTTTATGATACAAATTAAAGACGTACGACAGTATAATTATATTTTATGATTTTATTGACATCTACACTTCAAGTCAAACTGTTTTGATTACTGCCCTAAAAAGGGACAGCTAACAAGGCTTGAATCAAATCTTTAGTGAGCTGAAGAGTAATACATTTTTTTTTCAGCAGAATAAAAATTACAATTATTACTCATTTTCTACAATATTGTAAGTTCTCTGTATCTTGAACTCACCATCATTTTCCTTGCTGCCTCTGACATCTCTGGACCAGAGTCTTGTTTTTTCTTGATAAAGTCGTCAAGTCTCGCATCAGCAGGGCGGAGACTCCCATTCTTTCCAGCATCCCCACTCTCTGTGATTTCACTGTATGGCCGTTTCCTTACAGCTTTCCTGGGTACAAAGCCAGCTCCTTTGTCACTTACACCTGACGAATGTCCAAATCCTGGACGCTGGTCTGCCTCGTCCTCTGAATCTTAGAAGACAAAAACAACATGCAAATCAATTCTATCCTCTCCAGTGCCATTCAAAGTTGAATTTTGCGAGCGCCGTAAAACCTTATACTACACATACAAAGTTGAATTGTGTGCTTGGGGAATTCTGTTATAAATCTGAAGAGTAAATCTCAACAGGCAGGAAAGTAGATGACATGAAACATTTTATTTTAAAAGTAGAGGAAATTTTTTCTCAAATCAATCTCCCTGAGCCAAATTTCCCAACAGGGATAACCAAAAGTTGCATGCTGTGTTTTTCTCTGTCATTTGACAAATTTTTAAACTATCAACAGGGTAAATGCCAAAGGGAAGGGGATGGGTGCAGGTAAGCCAGAAACAATAAAGAGCATGTAGACAGAAAATATACTGGGTGCAGATATGAAATTACAATTTGAATGGTATTTTTTTTTGGTAGGAGTTTTACGGTGCTTGGAACTGCATAAGTTCATGATATAAGCATGCGGGACACATTAAACTTTTTCAGTTGGTAGGAAATTTTGAATTTTGCGCAGGTGGCTGCCTACTTTTATCGATTTTAGACCACGAAGGGATCTTTAACGTGAGCAACTTGCACACGGGCCCTCAGAGATTTTTCGCCCTTGTCCGAGAAGGCTAGGTGTAGATCTTTCCTACCAGAAGATCTGGGGTGTGGGTGAAAGTCAGCAGTAAGAAGGAGCCAAGGAGTAGCAGTAGAAAGGCTGCAGAAAGAGTCAGGAGCCCAGAGGAGGGGGCAAAGGAGGAGAGGGGTTGGGGGCAGAAAGAGGAGACGAAAGCAAACAACAGAACACTGCTAGAGAGCAGGAAAGGAGGTGAAAGGAGACAATTTTAGAGAAGAAAATTTTTCGTTCGCCACCCGGACTCGAACCCGCGACTTTTGAATGAGAGGCGAACGCCTTAACCTCTAGGCCACGAAAGCCCCCAATTCGAATGGGTGCGTGCAAACCAACATTATAAAGGAAAGTGTCAAGAGACAGAACATTTCTAAGCTTAAAGGGTTCAGCTTCGCTGGGCTGGTCATTTCGTCAGCATGCCTGATTTCCGAATCCTCTAAAAAGTATATATATTCTATTCTGGAGGTCGTCCTCAGAAAGAGTAAAGTTGTAATACCAAATCCAAAAAAGTGCTACAAAGACACCACAAAAATGTATCTGAAAGATTTCAACATTAATCCCTTGATATGGGACAACCTAGCTCCAGACAGACCCTGCTGAAAAGCAGCAATCTGAATCACAGAAGGTAGAAAATCATCAGTGGCTTCATGAGTTAAGAGTCAGAAATTGAAATGCTGATGCCAAGGCTAAGAAGACAATCCCATATATTTATAAGCTAAACCTAAGCACTCCCACAAGAGGAAAAGAAGCTTTTACTCTTTTAAACCCTTCCATTGCCTTTTATGACGTACTTAGTACATAATGAAAAAGCATGATTTTTAGCGCTGTGCTGTACCATCATGTATGTCGCTTAAATGGCAAAATTTGCTGCTCCTGGTAGCCTATTTATGGCGTTACAAACGTCACGCTAATAACCTGGTTCTTATTCTTCTGTACAGTGCTTTAGCCACAAGAAGTGCTGCATAGATTTGTATTCGGAAATAAAAGACAAGCATACCGGTACCAGATCTGCTAGAATATTCTTCTGTACGGTGCTTTAGCCACCAGAAGTGCTGCATAGATTTGTATTCGGGAATAAAAGACAAGCATACCGGTACCAGATCTGCTAGAATATTCTTCTGTACGGTGCTTTAGCCACCAGAAGTGCTGCATAGATTTGTATTCAGGAATAAAAGACAAGCATACCGGTACCAGATCTGCTAGAATTACTTACTGCTAGGCTTGCAAGCGATTGATAAAAACAGATCTACTGATCTAGGCTTGCGGGTGGCCGCGTGCTCTCGTAAAAGTTTAACATTAAAATGACTTTAAGAAGGCAAATAAATTCACTTTTTGACTTAGATTTGCAGGCCATTCGAAATTATGAGTAAGATGAGAGGAAATGGGGAATAAGAAAAGTGAGAAAAAAGACACAAAGAACCGGTGTCCGAAATATGTCACGAATGCGCTAGATCTAGACCGCGCATCCATTAACAATAACAACTGAGACATTAGAAAGCTGTCCTGGTTAACGAGCTCAGTTGAAAATTAGTGCTTCTTCTTCCCTTCTCCTCTGCAAATGCAGCATTGGTCATCATAGACATTGTGATTGTGACAGAAAAACTATTTTATTACTAGGCCGACTAGATAGGACTAGAATATATTATAATTTTATATTAATAAGCTATGGACATATAATACTTTAAGCCTACTCATGAATTACCCCCCCCCCCTCCCCCCGAAATACAGTCAAAGTTGGAAGGCCATTATAAAATAATTAAATACAATACTAGCTGGGCCCACTTTCGATGAAAGGAATGATCGGAGCATTAACATCAACTGAAAGTCATTGGCCTACTATATGTTTACACTCTCTACAGGAAAGGAGCAATAAATCTTGAGAAGTGCAAAAAATTAGAAGGTATAGATCTACTCTCAAAACAAAATGCGCCTCGCAGATTTGTTTCATTTCTCAGTGGAATAGTCACAAAGGCAAAAGAAGGACGGGAACTTTTTGTAAAATATATTTTTCTAATTCAGGAATGGAATACTTCAAATAAAAAATCGGGCTCCTTCATCTATCTTTTTGCAGGTACTTGCCAACTTTCAACTCGGTAGCTGTCGTAGTTTTATGGGAAAAGTGAGACATGAGTTTCCAAGTTGCCAAATATACGTATAAATAATAATAGATAGATTGATTCTCTATTCCACTGTCGTGGTTGTATACTCCAGAATTTCAAAGGTGTGGAATCAGTGCGCACGGCTAGTGAACGGAAACCTCACTTGTTTTCAATGGCATCTTAGAAGACTTTCCCAAGATTAGACCTTTAGAAACGAAACTAATGAAAAACTGAAAATTAAACTACAGAGTGACTTCTTTCAGGCTCCTCAATAATACTGTGCACCCTTTAACTTTAAATGATTCTTTAAATTTTGCCAAATTCGACAGTAAAGTGGTTCGGAAGTTTTAGGCGGCCAAAGTGACACACTTTCACAAATAATATAATATAATAAATAATTATAGAGATGATTATTACAGTGTTGGAAATCGGATTCAACGAAGTTGTCGGGCCTGGGATTTAATTTCGTTGAATCCAAGTGCTCGTTTTATGGCAAATATATGAGGTTCTAGAGTAGATAATTACAGGCACAGAGCAAGTAATGTAATATATTCGACTTTCTCAATCAAAAGAAGTTTGGTTTCAAATGAGAGGCATTTGAGTTTCTTTGATACCAAAGAATTGCTGAAAAATTCTAGGGAAATACACTGGACTCTACCAAGCACACTTTGTGCAAAGGGGTCGATTTGTTCAAAAGCACGCCTGTGCAATCCATCATCTATTATAAAATTTATATTATTTTATAACGTACTGTTTGCCAAACAAGTTATGTTGCTGTGTAGAGCCACATGATGCCGTTAAACGTAGAAGACGCATCTTTCTGATTGGCTGCTAATTTTAGTAATGTGATGTCATCACTTCCTGGGATACCCACAGACTCCGTGGAGGTACCGCATGGAATGACGTGTTTTCGGTAACATTTCGGATTTCCTAGTTCTAGATCTAGTACTTGGACATGATGGAAGATCACTCAGATCTTGATCTAGATCTGATCTAGATCGTTGATGCTCAGAACAGTAAGATAAGAACGCTGATGCGTGAAATTGAAACACGGTAAACACAAAGACAATATATATATATATACTGCACGAAAATTGCCGTAAAGACGCTGGAGGATTAGATCTAGATCTACCCCCCCCCCCTCCTGCATTCTTCATCACTATATACATTTAAAAAAAAACAACTACAACGCAACTAATTATAATTTATTTATGGGACAAACTGTTGGTCAGTCAGGATGAGGAGAAGAGAAAAAAACAACTGTCCGGGACCGGGATCGAGCCGCTTATATTGCATGATTTCAAACGCAGACGCGTTGTCTATTCGATCATCAAAACTTCTGACAGCGAAGGTAGATTAAGCTTATATACAGACACTTCCATCTTTGGTGCCATACGGTTGGCTATACTTTGATGTAGCCTAGTCACGTGATTGGAGGGGTATCATCATCCATGATCATGGACTGACGTCAAACAAGATGGGCGCCACACCTAAAAATAGTTTGCGTCCTTCTACATTTAATCGCATGTTGTAAAGCCTAGCATACACGGCAACATTTAATTATACAGTGAAGCACTTTAATATTTAATAGTTTAACAGTTCAGAAGGAAAACTGGTAGAATCTAGACTAATATGGGGTGCCCACTACGGTTGGATCGGGCCGATCGCCTGAAGAAACTGAAAACATACGTGTTTGTTTTTTAGGCGACCGAGTCGGGCGATCCCATCCGTAGTGGGCACCCCATATTCGTATTAGGTTAGTGTGAGACAGGAGGGAAAGTAAAAGAATACCCTTCCTCCGATCTAGAATCTAGATCTATCTCTAACTAACAAGACATCATGCAAGAGTCAGAAATCAGACAAGTTGCAGAAGTAGAATCTAAGCCAGATGAGCAGCTGAGGCCAGGTCTGAAAAATAAAAAGGCAAGACCTGACCGTTGACGACTTTTTGGAAGATTGAATCATGTTCCTGTTCGCAATGTTTGTCAGTGGAAAGTTTGTTGTGACAAACTAAACTAAATAAGTAGATCTACATTCTAGATAGAGTATCTAGGCCTACCAAATCAGAGATCATATGGGAATATACCTGTCAATGATGACATTTTGCCTTCAGATCTTGATTTACCAGTAGCCTTTATATATTTGAAAATGAAAACAGGTCTGTGCTACTTTTTCCTGGAAACAGTTCTCTGTATCCGAGTCAAGAAGTAGCAGTGTGAGGATTGTCAAGCTCTCCTTCCTGTATTTCTAAGTTTTAAAAAAGTTCTTCGGGAAATCCCATTTCAATATTCACTATCTATCTACAAACAGACAGAATTCAGCATAATAACAGAACAAACTACTAGTTGCACTCATATTGTTAATTCGATACTCGCAGAAGTTTCGTGTCCATAGTAGTCTCAACTGGCCTGCCGATCTGGATCCAAGGACCTTCGGTATAATTTGAACGAATAGCTAATGGTTTTGACTAATGTGTTGTTATGTTAATATGCAATGACTTGTTTGTTATTTTCTATAATCTTGCTGTTTTCTCTATCATTTCAACATTTGTTTTTCACAAGGATTTGTGCATGTACAAGCAATGGGAACAATGGGTTTCGACCTTATCCTCAATGCCTACCACCAGCATAACCGGGGTTTCATCGTCACATCTGTTATTTGAACCAATAGGTAAACGCGACCACTTTATACTGAAGGTCTCTGGATGGATCACGTGAAATCTAGCAGTGGTACATAAGTTTTGTTTACTAGCAGTTGGGTCTCCTGAACTGATTCAGTGAGGTCCATATAGACCCAAAAACGATAATTCCATTTATTTTTCTTAAACATATGTCATGTTGCTGTTATGATATAACTGCACGAGGTTTATCTGATGCTTTTATGCTCACAGAGACCGATTGAGGTAAGTTTATACGAGACCTGTACTTGTGCAATTGTTTTATAAAGTTAAGTGTCAGTGTAGAGATCAAGGCCAGATGATAGCGGGCCTTGATGATTAGATGAGAAGCCAGTCTTTCGACAAGATTCTTGCTAAAGTTTTTTGATGAGAGCTCCACCAAGACCCGTACATAAGTTCGTGAACTCTTGTTATTCTTAAATAGTTATTGCTATGCTCACCCTGGACCAGTCAGAGACCGAACTTTACTCCGTGGATCCTGATCTCTGGTCTGGTGATGAATGATGATGAGGTTGACTTACAAGTGTTATTGTTGTTGTGTTACATAATGACCACACTCTTAGGGAAGGCACTTACAGTTTAACTTTTATAGTCCACATCTTGATCTAAATTCTAGGTACAGATGATCCAGCATTATTTTACTGTCTCATATGTTCACTTTGTTCTCTATCGTCTGGCCGCTGTTAAAACAAGGTAGGCTACACTAACACTAACACTGATTTAATCGCTCAGTAGGCTTCTAATCTTCTCAGATCTTTGATTATAGAGATAGATCTAGATCTAGCTAGTGTAACTTAATAGGCCTGCCTACTGTTCTGAAAGTAGTAAGAGTTGGAAGACCAACAGAATCTAAAAGACCGTCCGTATGGATCAAAGGTCACTGCAAACTTAGGTACCGACATCACAGGGCTCCCTCTCAACTCTGAAATAAGGTTTAAAAAGCTGGAAATGAATGAAAACAAAAATAGATATCTATACGTGAGAAAGTCAGGAAATCAAAGGGCTGCCAGTAAATATGAATTTGGAAGGATCGTTAAGGTTTTCAAACTTAAAATAAAGAATTTAATTTGACAAAAATTTATAATACTCCTCATTCCAATTTAAATAAATTTATTTGCCATTTGGCCACGGTTCGGCTTTCCCAACCCATCCCCATCTTCCCGGAGTAATAGTTCTAAGGAAGTCAGATTCCGACAGTCCATGTCACTATGTAATCATGTGCAGCCAACTTTAACATCCTGTGTACTGAGCCCTTGTAGTCGCTCAGTAACACTTTATGATTTTTATTTTCTGTTTTTAATGGGTCGGGTAATTGGCCCTCTTTGAATTGGCACTTTTCAGGAGACCAGACCTATATGCACCTTTAGACATTAGTGGCCTGCTCTTACGATACGCAGTATCACGGCAGGTGATATTCTTTGCTCCCCCATTTTGTGCAATGTTCAATTTTAAATAATTCAAAGGATTGTGACGTGTCCTGTCAGTTTCTTTTGTTTTTACAAGAGTCATGCCAATAGCCACAATAAAGTAGGCTACCCCCCCTTTTTGATCCCAGTCGTGTCTGGTCGCGTTTTGGGTGGGTCCGAAAGTACTGTTTTATTATGTTTTCAGAACCGTCATGACTCAGGGTACATCATTTTAAAGAGGAAACCTTTAGCTTTAAAATGGCATTCCTTCATGTCGAGATCGATGCGGTAGAAGTGGAAGGATTTTGATTTGAAAATGAGGTAAATTTTAGATCGATTTAAAATTTAATCCATTTGTCTTGTGTTCAAGAGACTTTAAACTTACTTGTATGTTGTAGATCATGCATTTGCTGTTTTTAAGTTTTTAAAATATTTGAATAATGCCTGTGGCTATGTGTACGGCCCTCCCTATGTACTGCCCTCCTTACGTACGGCCCTCTAAAGTATATTAGATTGATCGGGCCTTGAAATCACTCACCTGGAGCGCGTCAGTTTATCGATCGATATCTTGGCCAAGACAAAGATTGTGTATCAAGATAGTTCACACCTCTATTTGAGCCAATTAAAAAAGTGTCCTCAAAATTCGGTGGCGCCCTCTTTCGAAAAAGTGCAGATTTGCGATCAGAGTTACCCTACTTGTGTGAAAATAAATAATAAAAATGAAGCTAAAAAACTGTGCTATTCTTCTGCTGGAGAAACGAAAGAGAGCTTCGAAACAAAGACTGCAGTGTCATCTGAACCAATGCGCAGACTTCAGCGTACACATTTTTGGCTGAGTGAACTCTGGTGTTGTGTACGATGTTTGGCCAAGAGACGTTCTACGAGGTCAAGATGACTTGCAAAGTCAGTGGTCACTATAACTTTGACCTGTAATTTACTACGTCATTATCCATATAAGGAATACTGAAATTTTCCATGGAAAAAAGGTCATCGTTTATGCCCTTTATTATATATTTATAGCTGTACGCTTCCCAATCAAAGTAAGTCAGCCCTATCCTGCGCGCTTCCTTGGTAGCCTGGCTCACACCCTTTAAAAAGGGCCTTTTGTTCTTCCAGGGTTTAAGTTTTTCCGCTTCTAGTGTCCGGTTTGATAGTTTATGAGCCTAGCTTATTATGTGAAGTGGAGGGCCGTACACACAGAGCTGTTAAAGTACTTTTAAAAAAGTACTTAAGTACAAATTTAAGTACAATCTAAAAAATGTACTTAAGTACAGTAAAAGTACTTTCCTATAAAATGTACTTGAGTACAAGTACTTTTTAAAAAAGTACTTATGAGTACATTTTGAGTACTTTCTGCTAATATGCTAAAACACTTCAGCGCTTATGCAAAACATCATATTTTATAACTTAACCAATATATTTGACAAATTAGGCTATTTATTACTAAAATTGTAAACAGTATACAAAGCATTTGAATATACAATGTACGCACTGAACGGTGGAAATGGTCCGTGAAGTTGAACAAAAAACATCCCAAACGAACAGACGCAACTAGTGGGTAAGTGATATTATGAATAAAACTTGTTTGAGCAAGACAATGTGATCAAATGTAAGTCAGTCATAGAGGTCGGAAAGTTCTACAGAAAGAGTATCCAAATTGAAAAATGTAGATATAAAGTTGCTCTTAAGAAAACATAAAATTGATGAAAATGGCCCGCATAGAAATGGAAAAGTGCATTGAATTCTTCATTAACAAATCCTCAAGGAATCAATGTAGCCTTAAGCAAAAACCACCCCAAAAAAGTTTAAAAGAAATTTAGGCAGCCTAAAAATTGTTAGATACACATTGAGAACACAGTTTCAGTTTCAATTGATTTTGGAAGAGGCTAGCCGTACTTATTCTAAATATGATGGCTACACTGACCATTAAAAAAAAATAGGCCTACTGAATTGTAAATATACATTTTTAGTGTGCAGTACCTAAAGTATTTGTATTTGAGACAAAACCAGGTGCCTTAATGACAGTGCATGTATTTTAAACCTCCTGTTTTCTAATGTTAATAGGGAATAAGATAAGTACGGCTAGACTGGCAATCTAGCTGTACTTAAGTACGGGTAGACAGCCAGGCTAGCCGTACTTAAGGACGGCTAGACTGTCAGGCTAACCGCACTTTTAATATTGATGGCTGAATTGTAAATGAAATTTTTAGTTTGCAATGCCTAAAGTATTTGTATTTCAGACAAAACCAAAAGGTGCCTTACTGACTTGCATGTATTTGAACCTGAATAATTGCTAGATCTAGATCTAATGAGACTTGTGTACTTAACAGGCTTGAGTCGATAGGGCCAAACCTAGATCTAAGTACGGCTAGACTGGCAGTCTAGCCGTACTTAAGTACGGCTAGCCACTTCGATTGATTATAGTGGTCTGACAGATTTTGATCACACTGTGTAGTCCACGGCGCCAACGGCAAACCAAAATACAATAGTTTCCTAGAGTCTAGTAAGTGTAGTGTAACCAAAGATTCTCTACTGCAGTAGTCTCCGCCTAAGATCCCAGTGCTCGGAAGCAAGGAAAATATGGGATCTTAGCCAACAAAGCCAAGGAAAAATCTACAGTGACCCATGAACTGACGTGACTCCTGGGTGGATTTATGACATATGGCAAGCAAAGAGTGGTCAACCTTGATTACCAATCACAGTGGCATGAGGCATGCCATAAATAATATTATATACATACACACTCATTAGCCTATCATGAGTCTTGAGATCTTTCTACGTTTATCCAGTTGCCCCTCCCCTTTACCTGTCCAACAATTTTAGCTTTCCATCTCTGATTGAGTCCACCCCCCCCACCCCTCAACCTCCTTTGTCGTTACGCACCATTACGATGTGACCACACTAATTAAAATTCAGGTTGTCTCGCAAATTCTGGAAACACTGCTTTCAATGGTCAGGGAAGAGTTCACAGTTTGATGTGATCCCGCCTGGAGCGAACTTGTAGGCCCTACCCACCCATGGAGTGATGTAAGTTTAGGTGGTGAGGTCAGATGCGAGTGCGATGTTTGGGAAAAAAGAAACGCATCGGTCAGTTCACACCTTGGTGTGATCCCGTCTGGAGCAAACACTGTACTGTTTCAAGGATTTTACAACGCTTGTGATCACATTCACGATAGTGGCTGATCTTTGAGGCGACGGCCGTTCTTTGATCTCAACTTTTAACTCTTGGTGGTTGATCGGGTTTTTGTTCCGTAAATTATGATCAGAAATGCCTGCACTTACACTTTCATTAAGCTACCAAAGTACTCAAAATGTACTTTAAAAGTACTCAAAAGTACTTTTATAAAAAGTATCGGAGTACAGTAAAAGTACTGGTTTCAAAAATGTACTGGAGTACAGTAAAAGTACCGAAAATTATAACGTAAGTACAAGTACCGGAGTACTTGTACTCCGTTACTACCAGCTCTGTGTACACATATAGCCTCGATGCTATGCGTGCGTACGGGAGCCGTACGCATAGCAACTTCGTTGAATAATTCAAGTTCAAAGCCACAGTTTGTGACAATAGGTGCCTCAAACATAAGAAACCTCTTGTGTTTCCCTGCCCGGCCTGGCTTCGCCAGTGGTGATGTCACACGCTGCCGTGCTCATTTGGGCGGTCTCGTTGTTCCTTGAATTCGAGTGTTTATGCTTTGTATTAATTTGATCTTAACTCTTTCCGGACGTAGTTTTTTTTTTGGGTCTAGACGTAATTAACTTGTTCCTCGACAGAAGTATAACCATGGCTCAAAACGTAACATATCGTCGGCCTGGTGATAA